GTCTCACCGCAACCAATGCAAATTCCATCCAAGGTATAAAAATGGACAGCTTGTCAAGGCGTGATCCTTCGAGGTGATGAGTCTATTTGTGGCGGAACTGAAACAAAAGGCAAATTAATGATAAGTTTTCCTGCTTAATTAAGAAAGCGAAAAGAAAGCATAAGAATGAGTCAATTATAAAAAAATCAAGCAGCGTACCATTTCCTGGGGATGTAAAGATCCATGTTTGGTCCCTCTTCGTTTTGCATCTTGGCGGCGGCGGCAGAGACATGTCCCTGGGGTTGGTCGACGGCGGTTAGCTAGGCTTTTACCAAGGACGCAAGTGAACGGTGCGGTGGGGAGACGTGGGTTTATACATGGTAGGTTTTGGAGGTTGCAACTGGGCCGGGAGAAAAGTCTTGAGTTGAGGTTGGGTCTGTTAGTGTTAGGCCTAGTATGAAATTTAGCTTGAACAATGAACTATGTAAAAATTAAAACTCTTGGGTTGGATGCTTACCCAAGAAAAATTTTGGGTTGGTTCAGTTAAATAATGGGCTTAAAAGTTGTCCATTTTTTCGGTCATAAACAATATATATATATTTTTTGCGCTCAGCTTGTCAAGGCGAATTCCATCCAAGGTATAAAAAATGGGTGTGTGCATTGTTTTTATATATTCACCAAGAGTTTGATGTTTTTGGGAGCAATTTAACTAACCAAAATTAATAATACTGCATGGTAGTGACTAGATCACCTTGTTGGCTATCTTGTTTATTAATTATTATCCTAGTTTTATTTATTTTTAAACGATAATCATCATCACAATATTAGTTTTTCTTTACTCTCATTAATTTCTCTCTTGACTTGTTACATTTTAGTTTTTTGATGGATATAGGTATCATGAAACTCGACCCTTGAATACTTGGTTTTCCTATGTTTGATTAGTTTACTGATGATGATGTATGATGTAGGATCTCTACCTTCTCAACAAAAATTGAATATTGTATGACAATGAAAAAATGAACAAAAGATGGAAAATATGATGACAAATTGATTAGTGGAGGTCATTGTTCCTTTTTTTCTAATTCAATTTGTTTGTCTTGAGGTAATTTAAATAATATTTTGAAACATTAAAATTGTCAACTTTGACTTTATTAAATTTAAATAATAATTAGAAGAAGATTTAATTTAATAGAGAAATTCAATTTTAAATGTATAGTATTTTAAAATATCTAAACAATGTATTTAAAATACATGTATTTGAAATTCTTTTTTTTTTAATTCAATCCAAACAATGTATTTTAAAATATATGTATTTTAAATATATGTATTTCAAATAAATACATGTA